GATTTCCTTCAGGCTGTGCATGGAATAGCCAAGTAGGATTAAGTCGTATTTGCATATCTGCGAAAACCCAGCTGGGTGCTCTGTAGCAATAGATACGGATCAGTCATACCTCTGCGTTACCTGTACGGCTTCACATTCCAGGCTCGACCTTAAACCTCGAGCAATCTACGCTAGCAAGGGACCAAGGAAATATATTGTTGACTGAAGCACTTTGCAATGTGCAGGAAACCATGAATCTCAACAACATACCTGTTTGGCTCTATAACAGTATATTTAAGAAGAGTGGCCATATATAATATATCGCATATAATATATAATATGCGGAAGCATCGTATACAGCTGTTATGCACGTTAAGGATAGTAGGAATGAATACAATTATCACAAAAGGTAGAAATGTATGCAGCTACAGCAACTGAACTCCCGAAGAGGCAATCTAATTGTTCATGAATACAAACAATCCACAATAATTGGGCATCTCTGACACTGCATTTTAAATACCAAAAAAAAATCCTACGGTAAAACGCAGAGCCAAATCGTGGAGGGAGGGATAATTTTTCCTTGATACACGGAAACCAAGTGCATCTTACAAAATCAAATGTCTGTGACACTGCCTAACCTGTATCCAAACAACGATGAATTTTTAAGCTTCACGAAAATGAGTACGTATGTTAGAACATCTGTTACAGTCAAATCACAGTCAAATTTTAAAACTGCACAGAAATGAATACGACACTGCCCACTTTACAAGAATATTTTCAGCAGTTAGGAGAAATGTGGTTACGCAGATTACACACATGTCTAGTTAAAGGCAGGGTTCTCCCTACGTTGCGCAAACGGGGCGCGCGCGTGTCCCGTTTGGGAAAACTACCCCCCTGTTTCAATCGTTGCGCCCCGTTTAAATTACCTCCGCCCCGATTAAATTCCACCACAATAAAAGTTTGACAGCGCGGGAATCGATCGTGAAGAATTCCCATTCGACCAGAACACCCGGCGCGTGTATATTTACCGTACCACGCATGCACTGCAGACCATACACAAGTACAAACAGTTAACCTGTCCCAAACCCAACACTAACTGTACACCGACTCGGCTATCTTATATATATACAAGAACCCCAAATACCGTCTATGGTGTGGTGGCGATTTTACGCATTAATTAGTCGTACGGTAAAAATACACGCCCCCCGGACCCCCCTAGTTTCCCCCCTCCCCTCCCCCCCTAGTTTCCCCCCTCCCCTCCCCCCTGTTTCAATTTCATTCTGGGGAGAACCCTGAAAAGGATACTATACCCCAGAATTTTAGAGTATACTATGATAGTAAGTGCATAAGTAAATATATACAGGTCTACAAATGTCTATTAATCATAAAACATCAACGAGTTTTGAAATCTATATTTTTGCCTGCTGACATTACATCGCGTGATTGTGCTGCCACCCTGACAAAGGTGCACTTCTGCGCGTTACTACAGACTGAGGGCTAATCACAAAAGTGCAATTATATTTATACCAAACTACTATTTAACTGAACGATTTTTATTTTAGGAGAAATTCGTCCATATTATAACTGAAACTAAGAGCAGTTTATAAGATATTGCAAGCCTTCTCCTTGTAAATTAGTAAATAAGAAGCACACTGGGTCTGTAGCCTGCAGCCGAAAACTTGCGTTGCACAACTTTTGTCAGTGGATGCGCTTGTAGTAGCGCCTGTGTAAGCAATAGCTGCCAGTTTTAAAATATAAAAAAAAAATATTTCAAATATAATACTGAATAATTCAGTTTTTTATGTAGCGTAATTTAAACCTGTGCAAGAACCCTAGGGTCATGTTTCCCTTTAAGACTATACTAAGTTAGTTAACACTGCTTTAACATAAACCCTACCTCAGCCTTGTGATAATTCTTCTCGTGGAGCCATTTATGCATTACAATTTGAATATCAAATTTTTATTACTATAATCAAAAGGCATAAATTTCAATAAAAGAATAAAGTTCTAATTTTTTGCTTCATTTTTAGTTTTTTGGACAATAACAAACGAAACATCTCCAAACAGAACAGCAGTCACTATCACAATGTTCATGTAACCCATTTGAAGAGATGACAAAGCAGATTTAAATTTTAACATGCAGGGAACGTGATAATGTGGATCCAAGAGCAAGTTTTCCAAAGGTCCTATCAGACTACACGAAAAATAACCAACCCGCGCCCTTGTACCCATGGACTTAGGAACGCCAATACGATCTCGGCGTAAACCTTTTCACTGTGATCATTTACTCCAAATGAGAATAAAGTCCGAGCAATTTCCAGTCCGATATATTGCAAATCATGGGTTCTGCACCGATGACAGACCTCATGTTACTATTATCATTCCACTCTCTTTGTTTCACGAACTGAAGACCAGCTAAAAGGCGATGTAACCTTATACCGATGCCGACAGACTGCACAACGTAACTGCACACAAAAACAGAAGACGAACATAACATAGCCAAGACGATTCGATGCCACGCAGGGGCTACAGTAGTTAATCTCGGCATGCACTATGGGTGCATGGTAATACCCATAGCAGTTTTCCTGGAGATTTCCGGGACTTAAAACCTTAATTTTCCACGAATGAAAGACTTTAGACAAATACAATCCTTATGCTTTGTATCATCCAATTAAAGATTAGTAAACAAACTCTGGCATTAAACCAAATTTAGTACCTCTCAAAAAAGGCAGACATGTTAAATTTTTCTGGGATTTTTTAATACCACAGCCCATAAATTTCCAGGATTTCAAGTATGAAACCAATAATCAAAACACGCACCACAAAAGTATGTTAGAGCGATCGCGTGTGCAAGTAAAGAAACCGATTTACATACACGTCAAGAGTAGATAATAACACAAGAGTGAGACAACCGATTCCCGCATTTTTAACCGATTTTTCTCATCAAAATTTGCCACCAATAAAGAAGCAAGTGTATACGTTCCTCAGCTTATTATGACCACTAATCACTCACCTTCATGGTACTGATATTCGTTTACATATGTTTGCTAGCGTATTGCTGTAAATCGTAATCTTGCACGAGCTGAATTCGCACGATTTACCGCTGTTGTTGTGACCTGTTTAGCCATTATTTAGAAGCTATCGGGGCGCTAATATTTAGCAACGGACGGTTTCCAAATCATTCGTGCCCCGATAGGGTTGAGAGACAATCTAAATTTCGAATTTTGATCTCGTGAAGAACCTGCGAGATGCGCTCAGTTATTGTGATCGCAACACAAGAAATTGACATACTATCTTACATAAGTAATAATACAATAATAACAATATTCTCTGTAGTAGTTTGCAGTAAGTATCACATTACGCACGCGCAGGTAATCAAGTACATTAAACCCCTATCGAGGCACGCATGATTTGGAAACCGTCCGTTGCTAAATATTGGCGCACCGATAGCTTCTAATAATGTCTAAACAGCTCGCAACAAGTCGCCATTTTAGCGGTAAATTTATCGAATTCAGCTCGTGCAAGATTACGATATACAGCAATACGCTAGCAAATATATGTAAACGAATATCAGTACCATGAAGGTGAGTGATTAGTGGTCATAATAAGCTGAGGAACGTATACACTTGCTTCTTTATTGGTGGCAAATTTTGATGAGAAAAATCGGTTAAAAATGCGGGAATCGGTTGTCTCACTCTTGTGTTATTATCTACTCTTGATACACGTATCATGAGTAGCATGGTTGAGTGTAACAGATTCCAACAGTGTGAGTAGATTAATAGTGGTGTACTGTACAACAACAAGCATGTGCAGAGATAGCTGAGATAGACGTGCAACAGTACTGTGTGAATTAAGGGTGGTACTGGACTCCAACGTTTTAAATTAAACAGGCAGTGATTCTCAGTTCACCATTGGTAAATCAGCAGTAACACTCAGTTTCTGTGGTAGAATTTGCCACTGCTTAGCCTTACGGCAGTTGCAAATGCAGTCCCACTAGTTACTGCAATACTGCTGTTTCTAACCAACTGTATTGCGCGCATAACTGCAAGTGTTGACAACCATATTAAGCAGTCGTAGGGAGAGATGGATAGGGGGGTGATAGGTCACGCCGATAATGCGCCATTATTTCTTCCCCCAGCCTCAGCCTCGCACGCGCGGGGGAAGCACGGGTGCCGTGGGGAACCAGCCAGCGCGGCCGAACGATGTCAGCAGGTGGACGCCGGCTTTTGTCGAGCGCATGATGCAGCAGCTCAGCGCGCCGATCGCGGCTCCGAGTTCCCGCGCATCCCACGAGGAGCTCTCACCGGCGTGAGCCAAAAATGGTAGCGCGAGACAAGCAGCTGCGCGCGTATCTTTGTGCGCAAGGCGTCGGTCACCCCCGCCTTGCCCCCTCGGATCCTACACGTCACCGGCGCACGGTTTTTTTTTGCGCCGGGCAAAGAATACGCGGCGCCGGCGGCCTTCGGTCTCTGTGAACAGTAGATGCTCTATCAACATATCCACATGCCGAACGTGGTCAGGCCCATGCCATAGCGTCAGCGCTGACGTACAGTGTGCTGCGGCGTGGTGGCCACTAGCTACGCTCAACGGTTGTGGCGAGAGCGGTACACGTTAGTGCTGGGTTTTGGTCGTATTGACTACTCCGGTGGGGGCGGCGCGATAACGAACCACGCTTTCATTCTCCGAGGTAGCGATACGCTTTTGACGCGCGTTACGTGTAGAACACGTGTCGAAATGCTCACAACTCGCGATCTGCCCCCCGATCTCCTTCCTGTATGTATAGCCTGTACCGATTTTACTGATCTCAGGCTGGGATCGGACACATCTCAATGACTACTAACCGGCACCGCTCAATGCTTGTCATGCACGCGCATCAATCGGACCATCCCCAAAAAAATATAAACGCGAATTCCATTCGCTCGCGGCGGCCACAAACAGTGTGTTGAAAATCGGTAGGTGTGGCCAGGGCTACACGCGACTCTACAGTTCGCACAGAGGCAACGACACCTAACGCAACTTACCCAGAGCTATCCTCCTCTGACAGGATTCCGGCAGCGCCGGCTGTCTCGTCGTATTCCTCCATATCACAGCTATGTGTGTGTGTATGTACGTATATATATATATATATATCTTTATGTACAAATCACCGGCAAATATACAGCCGAGCGTATTCACAGAGATGCACACGCGCGCGCACTCGCTCCCTCTAATCACAAACAGTAGATACCGGGTTTTGGTAGGTTCACTACGATACAGCGCACACGTCACTGGTGGCTCGCGCACACACACATAAGCATGTGGTCCAATGGTCACCGGAAAGACCCAGACTGTGGTCAGTAAGACACACAGTAAACTCCGCGCTGTATATATATATACTAGTTGACTGGTGGAGCTCCTACAAGAACTGGCCTCCACACAGATGATCAGTGATAGCGTGTGCAACGTTGGATAGCGTTACGGTCATGTGATACGACGGCAGCACGCCGGAGCAGGGCAGGGGGAGGCAGTACAGGCAGCGGGCGGGCAGGCGGCCGGGAAGGGCTGCCACGACGAGCCGTATGCGTCAGACCGGGCTGGGGGGTTGGGAAGCCACAATTCCGCCAAGCTGCTATGGCAGCCAGGCGAGATGCAGATACACTTGCTAATAAGTATGCTAGTTCTCTCTCTGCTCTATGCGAGAGCACTCACTCGCTCTCACTCACTCACTCATTCACTAACCCTCACACGCATATAAACTCGCAGAAGCCACACACACACGCACATGCACGAGCGCGCGGGCACGCACGCACACACACACACACACGCACGCACGCGCAATGTTCGCACGCGTGTAGTAGGCCGCATGTTTACACCTGAACTATCAAGGTTACGTAACAAGTACGGGAGTACAACCAGGGCGCACGCACGCACGCGCGCACATACAGCCAACACGCCTGTATAATTAATGGTGAAGAATATCTGCTATTCGGGAAAGCCCGCATACCTAAAGGAAGCCTATCATCCTTCATCGGCATGCTTCCCCTCACCAACTAAACTGAAATGCGTACACCCTTGTACTCGACGCAGTTTTACAAAGCACTCCACGTTTCAACGAAATCAATTTCCCACTGAATCGGCTCAACACGATTTCTCTTGTAGTATTTTGCATGAATGGCACACAACGCTTTACGCACACAATAATATGCCTTCCGTCACTCGTAATTGCCAAAACGCTGTGAATTCACCTGAACGGAACTGCCGGTATGTTACGTAAAGCGCAATTGAAAATACACGCGGATGGGCGACTAAAGAATTTCCAGTAGATTTAGCATTGCTTAACACGTGTGAAGTGAAAACTTGAGATGTTGCTTCCAGAATCGACACATCAGGGCCTTCACGACATCACGAGGCAAAGCTTTAGATGCAAATTTGACAAGTAGTCACGAGCAATAATGAAGACATTTGAAGCAATCTTATACGTAAGATGCAGGTAAACAAATTCTATTAATTCTAAATGTGATCAATACGATTCGGTAAACATTTTGCTTATAGCCGAGTGTCAGTAGAAAACTGCAGCGTGCAGAGCAACCTGAGGCAAATCTTATACCAGGTTATACAGAAACAAATCTCGTACTTCTAACAAGCATTCTCATCACAAATCTCCGTGCATGGAATGGAGTGCGGCGTCTATCCCTACCTGAGCTATACTGACCTACACTTTCCATGAGGTGAATGTACCTGTGACACATTTCGCATTGTTAAGGACGTTAGAGATACCTTAATCAGGAAAGAAAGACTGAAGATCTACTTTATCAGATACATACTGCCAGACAGACACAAACGCGCGCGCGCACGCACGCACGCACGCACGCACACACACACACACACATTAACTGTTAACGTTAAAGCTCATCATTTTCAGAGAAAATTATCATAACTGAGTTCATGTTTTCAACTGGATTGGCTAATAAATTATGTATATATTTTATTTATTTCTTTTCCGATGACACTATCTCTGTTGGCCACCTGAGCTTCCATCATGCCTTTGCGTAGATATACAGCATTGGCGTGAAACCAACCTGCTGATTCGCAGCCATTTTTCAAACACGATGTCGCTGTAGTGAGAACTGACAATTAAGACACAAGGTATACACTGGTATAGATTACAGCCCGCCGCTACAGAGGGATACTACCCCCACACCATTTGACACCGCCCGTGACCCATGGTACCACTGCTCGATCCTGCCTGCTCCCTCGCCGGCCATACCAAAATTAAACAGGTTCGGGCTCCCATCTAAATATTCTCTAATAACCACGCCGGCAAGGCCACAACCTAGAACACCACAGTCCCACGGCCACTTTAGATGCTGAGCGGATGAAAACCTGTTATTCCAGTTATTAAAACGAATAGATGGCTGGCCAGCCGCGCGCGCGTGTGTGTGCGTGGGTATGCGTGTGTGCGTGCGTGGGTATGCGTGTGTGCGTGCGGGGGTATGCGTGTGTGCGTGCGTGTTCCTGCGTGCGTGCGTGCGTGCGTGCGTGCGCTCGTCAATGCTTATGTACGTGGTGGGAGGTTACCTTGAAAATGCTAGTAAGGTATATGCAGCTCTCTGTTTCCGATTTCCCGCGGGGTTAGATAAAGTTCACATTGACTCTGCAGCCGAGAGTGAGAGAGAGAGAGAGGCGGAGAGCGCGGGAGACGAGGGATCAAGAACCAGCAAGCATAAAACCTATCTACAGATCGCCGGCCCAGTTCCCAGCAATCATCGAACTCGACTAGTCAGACGGTGAAAGTCAGCGCATCGTGAGCCCACCCACGCTCGCGCGTGGGCTGCGACGATGTTCTAAGGCAGAACCATATAGCAAACGGACCCTGTCCAATCACGGGCCGACGTCGTCCTTAATATGGTATAGATCACGCCGTCGATATGACTCTCCCGAGTACCCCACCAGTCGGCGCCACATTACTTTTAAATTTAAAAATTTCAAATGATGCATACAGGCCTGCCTTTTGTTACCACTCTTTCTTTCTTGAATCAGTACTCACATGTTTTACGCACAAATCAATGGTTTTATGATGCTATTTATTTTTAAATTCGTTGCTTTTACATGGAAACTATGCTTCCAAAACAATTATTAGCAAAGAAAGATACACACATCGCTTCGTATTATGGGTCTGTTAAAAATAAAGTTAGTAGAAAAAAACTAGAGGGGTAAATTGGCTCATTTCTACGGACCTGTGTACAGTGCATAATGGTGTGTGTGCGTGCGTGCGTGCGCGCGTGTGCGCGCGTGCATGTGTGCACTCACTACTGTTAGTTCTCCCACTACACGATCACAAGGAATGATTGACAGGAGTCTCACATCTCTCCACGACCCTGACCCAGAATCGAGAGAAAAGAACTGGCAGGAATAATCCAGGTGACGAATTGTAGGGAAGTGGTTGCGTAACCGTTTTTTTATGCGCGTCTTTTGTAGATTCGCCGCACGATAACACCACGCTGGCGTACCACGGGACTTTCAAACACGAATTCAAAACAACTATACACGTGCATTTTCGAGTGGTGTTAGCAGAACGATTCGATGGACTGGTATAAAAGCTTCCGTGTCCTAAAGCTTCAAGAAGCTGGAATTATGTTAGCTTACTAATCCTATGTGATAATCGTATAATAAACGTGTAATCACATTCATACCAGTGCGCATCCTGTCAATTGTACTCCAAGAACATATATAATAAATCACCGCCTCGAATTCCAGTCCAGAGTCCGTGCTATCAACGAGTTAAGAGTATTGGTCTGTTTATTATCTTCTGCATGGCCATAGTAAAATAGTGAACTACTAGTCAAGCGTAAGTTTTCTTCCTTTTAGGAAATGCAGTTAATGATTATATTTTGCATCTATACATACACACGACGCACGCACGCACGCACGCGCACGTGCAATTTAGCTCAATATAAAAATGAAAATGACACTACAGAGCTATAAATAGCTCGATTCTGTCGATAGATAGGTATCCGCGCGCCGCACAAAGAATATATCTATCTACAAAAAAGCCTCAGCCAATTGTAACCAGTGTGTTAGCCAGAGACCCGCCTACCCGTCTTTTGGACGGCATATTCTGGGGATGAGACGGATGAAATTTGATAGACGGCATAAGGGCGGCCCAATTTTATATATTATACACTTTGTATAACTGACAGCAGTGCATATAAGAATATAAAATTATATCAGATTCCTGTATTAACACAAGGGAATACCACAGATACCGTTGCTAATTATTTATGTGCAAAAAACTATGGAATTAACTTGTTAGAAGAGCAAAAGGGTTCAGCAAGCAGGTAATATTTTGGAGACTGTTACACAAGCTTCTAGGATGCAGGTACATTTATTTTCCAGCAACTATTAAACTAAAAATGAAAAAGTTGTATAGTGTGAAAATTTAGTAATTCGTGTAAAGATTTGGCTAGCGAATATGACAGCGAGATAGTTGGTGTACAGCAAGAAATTCTCTTCATCTTCCTCATCTTACTCCTCCATCGCTTCCCGCATCTCATACACCATCTCCTCAAACTCTTATTAACACTAGTTTAAAGACCGACTGATATTTACTACTGGAGTGTTCTAATCATTTTGCCGCGAGACTATAACTTTCAAGGAAATTTGTCCATTACTGACCTTCGCTATCGGTACACACGACTGCGAAGGTTACACGAAGACTGAGTATTTCTATCCTTTATGAATGGTGTGACTGGTAGTACCTGGATAATTATTAGACTTACATTACAAGTTTACAACATTTGAACAACAAAAATTCAAAATGGATGGACTTTAAAATTGTACTTAAATACGTGTGGTTTTGAACCCACTAAAACTCCACAGCGTATAATTATATATCTGCCAAATTTTATGACATCACCAAATACGAACAGCCGGGGCCCTGTATTTCTGCATTCACTGTTCAGTGCTGGACGTATTCATACTTTCTTCCACGAACGCCAACTGCCAATACCTACGCAAAATTCCCATTACATATTTATTCCAACCAGGCTGAGAATCAATAAGCACAGCTCGCATAAAAACCAAATGACTACGAGGAAAGACAAAGGCTGTGCGAGGCCCATCCTACAATGTGGCCACGGTCCTGCTATTACAAATTATAAATGAATCATTACTAAGCATTGTGTGACCAAGCAGGCACCAGCAGCAGATGTGCTGCTGCCGCTGTGGATGCTGTTGTTGCCATGGCAACAAACATGTCAGTCGAATGATGGCAATGTGCTGCTTGCTCTTTTCTTATTGGGATCCGATAGAAAAATAACAGCAAATACCAGCTAGGCCAGTGCAAATTAATACCAGTGGCAGCCGTAACAAGCATAGGAACTCCTTAAATTACAGATTAGAAATGAACGCGAAATGCACGTAAATTATTTTACGCGTGAAAGTGTACACGGCATAGCTGTGCTTA